AGGCCAACCTATAGATCGGCCTTCTGTAGATCAACTTATTGAGCTTCCAGACACTTTGAGCAAAATACTTCAGTCTCTTTTTACAGCTGCTCTCAAAGGGTTTCAGTAATGTTAGCTAACCCCTCTCACCCCTCGCTCTTCACCCTTTCTCCAGCATCGAGTACTGGCTGACTGTCTAGTTCTTTCAGATGGTGAAATTAATGAATGACCAAAATATTAAGTGCATGTGTGTAATTTTGAAACGATTGACTCAGAATTACATAAATTCTTCTTGCAGGATGTCAGTTCTGTTTGACCTAATAAACTCATTCATTCTTGCATCTGATACATTCTCATTGTTCCTTATTGATTTTCAAAATTTGATTTGCGATCTATCTTTGGGGCTCCAGAGCTTCAGAACACCTAGGAAATAGTTTTGGATTTCCCTAGGAAAAGGCAACAGGCGTATGGTGAAATTTGGGGGGCACTCCACTGCCTAAGACCTAATAAGTGTGTATGTCTTCCACCATCAAAGCTGGAAAGGATTTTTATTTTTGAGAGTATGCCCATATAAAGCCAATATTCTCATCATGTTTTCAGTGAAGACACCTTCTTCTGCCAATTATAGTTGGTTTTGAGTTTACATTTTCAAAGCAGTATTGAATTAACGTTCATCCAGAGATATCAACCAGGTGAAAAGCATTCATAAAATATATAAACTATTTGAGTAAATCTGTTATGTTGACATGAAAAAGAGAAAATATGAAGTGTTAGGGGTTGAAGGACATCATGACGGTCTTTAAATATATGGTAATATGGGTTATACAGTGTGTGTGTGTGTGTGTGTGTGTGTGTGTGTGTAAGAGAGAGAGAGAAAGATATACAGAGTCTGAAGGTTTAAAATGAGCAATGGGACGAGTTATAGGGAGAAATATTTTAGCTCGTTATAAAGAAATATATATTTGTGAATTATAAATTTAAAAAAATTATTATGACCTGGGTACACTGAAGCTATTCAGTTTCTCAACAAGTAGAAAATGAATAGCCACCATGTTTGTTTGTTTTAGTGACTTCTTCACTGAATTAGAGGTATGGTTAGATACCTTTCAATGTTCTGAACCTTATAACCCACATAAGTATCCTTGGGATCCACTGCCCAGTAGTGGTAGTGAGAAGAGAACACATTTTTGTAGGATACTATGCAGATCCCAGGCAGGACACCCTTTGTGTTTATTTTCAACTTGAGCAAGTTTTTGTCTCAGAGGCTAAATGTAGTGTCAGAATTCAGTTCAAACTTTTTCATGACATGGTAAGTGAAAACTCATCATGAGTGGGAGAGACACCAACAAAGATTTACCATTTACTCTAATCATGTGCCATGAATGTGTATTGATTTGTCTTTCCTGATCCCTTTTCCCCAAGCTTTTTCTAACTGAACCTGAGAAAAGGGAGCTTCTTTTCTCTTATATCCAAGGCAATAATGGGCTAAGCACAGAGGCATCAGAACCAGGTCTTCTGGGCCCAGAAACCCACCCAAGAGACAGAAAATAGAGGAATAGAGAAGAGGGATGTAGAAGTTCCTAGTGACCCAGGAGACTCCGGTTTCCATCACCCCTTAAGCCAGCTTTATTAGCCCTTCCTGTACTTGGATTATATGAGCCAATAAAGTCTTCTTTTGGTTGAAACTAATTAAAATAATTAAAATAAAAGAATATTTCTGTCACTCACCACTAAAGAGTTATAATTAATAAAAATGTGTCATCTGGGTGCAGTGTTACTCATTGACTTTGGTGTAAGTAAACACTTAAAAATTTTTACCAGTAAGAAAACAAGATTCTGTGAGACTGAATTTCATCATTAGCAGTGAGGAGGGGCTAGTAATTCTTCCCAGTATAATGTGGGACGAGCAGAAGGTAAAGAAAGCTTCTCAGAAAGTAAACTCAAAGGGGTCACAGTGGCCTAGCCAATGAGAGAGTCCAGGGGACACATTCAGCAAGCCTAGTGAAACTAGAAGTTTCTAACTTGAAACAAGGAAGGCCCCACAAGGAGTGATGAGTACAGAGAATGTTTTAAACAGAGAACAACTCCAAGATGGAAGGAAGGGACATCCAGTGACACGGAACATCTAGTACTGGAATGACTTCGAGATTTTCCCCCACTCTAAGCGATTTCCCTCACTCTTAGAGATTTTTCCCCACTGGGGATCTTTGAGGTGAGATGCTAAAAATGGAAATGGAGAGGCAAGGGAGGGGAGAGGAAATGCATACATCGGCATACCGCTAATCTGTAACCATTTCCAAGTATAGTATGAAGATGCAGATTTCAGAGATCAGGCAAAACAAATGCCTTTTGCTCCCTTCATTCTCCGCATGGTACTTTTCTCGGCCTCTCATCGCTGCTGATTTCTATCTTCCTATTTTTCTTCCCTCACCTCTCTGCTCTCCTTCTCTCCTTCTTTTCTCCTCCTTCTCCTCCTTCTGCCTCTCCCTCTCCTTCTCCTCCTCCTCCTCCTCCTCTCTCTCTTGCTCTCTCTGTCCCTCCCGTCTCTCCCCATAATGTTTACCTCTTATGTGCACTCTGCTCTTTTCCACATCCACCCTCTGATGTCCTACGAGTCTGGGCACCAGGTAACACCGGTCGATGACTGTTGGATGATGGTGACAGAGTGTAATGGAAAGCTGGACTTTATCATTGCCTAAGAAGAAGCTAAGAGTGAAGAGGGGCACTGGTCTTTCAACCTCAGTCTGCTCACTCATAACTACCCCACTTCGAATGCCCTTACAACATGACATCGGCTCCTTGCTGTGAAGTCAGCTCACTAAATATATCTTGAACTACAACTTTGCATGACATTCTTTTGTGAAGAATGCTGGGGGCTTAGAAAAGACAAGGACTTTTGCCTGTAAAGGGCTAGTTCACGTGTAGTGAAAGAGACAAACTTCCTCCCATGATCTCGGTGTGAAGGGTGGGTGTAAGTGGGTACCAGAGGAACCTCAGAAAGAGGTAAATGCTAAGCAATGGCACAATCACTTGGAAGAATATTGTGTGGGGTTTTAGGAGGAAGAGTGCGAGTTCTTTTCATTGAACTATAATATGTGGACTGCAAGAGCTAAGAGATTACATAATAATTAAAAGTGAGATGGTGCAGCCCTAGGGGTCCAGAAATCGAGACAGAAGCGACACCCATGCTTGACAAAGCCTGAGCCTTGTGTCTGGCGTGACAAGATGTCAATGATAAAAAACAACCTTCACATTTGATATGCAGGAGTGGTCCTGTGGGCTCATTCTTGGGAAGCAAAATTAATGTGCTTATTTATGTGACTGGGGACTCATTCCAGTTGCAATTAACAGTCTAATAAAATGCTAACACACACAGGGTAGACTTCAGGGATGCACACTACAACTTGAGAAGGCACTGAACTCCCAATTAAGGGAACATGAGTTGCTTCTCAAGTTCCAAATATTTTAGGCAGCTATTCAACAGGAAATCATACCTCTCACGATGCCTTACCTACTGTTCCTCCAGGAGTTCCCCATACTGTCCCTTTAGGGGTTTTCTGACTTCCTAGTGTTCTGCTGTGTCTATCCTCATTCCATTGATTTGCTTTACTGCAGCGTCTCACTCTTAAGAGGCCACTCACTGTCAGGGTTGTGCAAGGGATTGCCTCCTTAAATGCTGCACCCCAGGCTTCCACCCACTCTCCCCAAGCCCCAGTTCTGGACTGCATTTACCTCTATTTTGTAACTAGGATGTGTATTGACTATCATATGCACGCCAGGCAAGAACTGTTGCTTCCTGCAGGCCCCACCATGCTGCTGACACGGAGTCTTGGGTCTAGGGACATAATAGTTGCCACTTCTGGGTGGTGGACCCTGTTTCTGCCACCCAACCTACCTGCTTCTGTAAACCGTGTATTTTGCCGGCTAGTCTGTTTATGTAAATGACTCATCAAACTGCTGCATGATCGCATTTTTTGTGTGTGCAGACTACACAAGTTTCTAGTGATGTTGAGCACTCTGTACACAATCATTATTATTGTCAAATAATGAGTATTCCCTTATTGAACTGTGGTCTTTCCCTGGATAAACTGTACTTGTTCTAAGATACCCCCTGTAATTGAACAAGCAACCTGGAGAAAAATAGCCTCTGTCCATCACTCCTTCCAGCTGATTAATCCACTAAAAATTATAAACTTTTAGTAATGTTCCATTTCAAGCCTCATCCTTTGCAACGATGTAGATCCTCATAAGCACACATAAAATAATAAGGAGAGGGGCACCTGGGTGGCGCAGTCGGTTAAGCTTCCGACTTCAG